TCTAATCAACATTTATAGAACTCTCCTTTCAACCACAACAGAATGCACATTCTATTCAAGTGTATATAGAACATTGTATATACTAAGCCATAAATTTCAAAGAATAGAATCCATACAAAGGATGTTCTTAGATCATGACAGCACTTCTAAATAATTCATTCATGCTCTAAGACACAGATGGAAAATCTTAAGAAAAATGTTAAATGACTTCTAACTAAATGAAAATACAACATATAAAATCAGAGTAATGAAGCTAAAGCAACGCTTAAAGAGAAATTTTAGTTAATTGATTATATTAGGTAATAAGAAATATCTCAAAGCAGTAACCTAACCTTTCACCCTAAGAGAGAGGGAGTGGAAAAAGAAACGCAGAGGGAAAGAAGGAGGGAGAGCGGGGAGGGAGAGGAAGGGGGGAAGAGGGAGGGGTAGAAGGAGAGAATGTGAGAGCAACAATATGTAATTTTAACCAAAGCAACCAGGAAAAAAAAGAGAGAAATAATAAAGATTGGCGCAGCCATTAGTGAAATTTACAACAGAAAACAATAGAGAAAATCAATCACATCAATTACTGAAAAACCAATATAATTCATAAAGTTCTATTCAAAATGATGCTGGGGAGAAGAAGAGAGAGGAGACCCAAAATATCAGCAAAGAAAAGGGGACAATCATTACTGAGCCCACAGACATTAAAAAGATGATAAGGGAACAACCAGTACTATGGCCAAAACCTTGACAAATTAATTGAAATAAATTAAAAACTACTCAAGGAAAAAAAGGTAACATGAAGAGTCCTATATAGATTAATCTACCCCTACAAAAGCTTCTAGAACTAAAGTAAATAATATTCCTATTACTAGAAATAAACAACTGTTCCCCAAAATAGGTTCAATACTTAGGTATAAATACAATAAAATATGTGTAGAATTTTTATGTTGGAAACTACAAGACAGAAATCAAAGAAGGCCTCAATAAAAGGAGAGATATACAGTGTTCATGAAGTGAGAGACTAATTTTAAGAGTCCAATTCTTCCCAATTTGACTATAATTCAATATAATCCCAAGAAAAGTATTGGCAATCTTTTTTGTAGACAATAATATGATGATTCTAAAATGCATAAATAAAAGCAAAAAAGGATTAAGAATAGCCAAAACAATTCCAAGAAAGAACAAAGTTGGGTGTGGTTCCTTTCACCCATGCCAGCTCTGGTACATGTCTCCTTTTATTTTCTCCCTTCTTTCTCTAATAAACTTTGTTTAAAAAACAAACAAATAAGCAACAAACAAACAAACAACAAAGTTGGAGAACTCACACTATCAAATTATTTCAGGATAAATCAAACTTAAAAGCTATCAAATCAAATCAAAATTTAAATCTATTGCTCTAAGACAGTCTTAGATAATAAAAAGAAAAGTAACAGACTTGGAGAAAATATTTGCAAATAACAATATGATACCAAAAAAGTCTATCCAGAATATGTAAACAGCTCTCACATTCAACAATAAGAAAACAACAACACAGTTTATTTATTTATTTATTTGAATTGGAATCTCACTCTGGCGCCCAGCCTGGAGTGCAGTGGCATGCTCCCGGCTACCGAGCGCAGCCTTGACCTGATGGGCTCTGGCGATCCTTCCACCTCAGCCTTCCAAGTAGCTGGAACTGCAAGTGTGCACTACCACACCAGGCTAATTTTTTATTTATTGTAGAGATGCGGTCTCGTCAAGTTGCCCGGGTGGGTCTCGAACCTACGGGCTCAGGCAATCCACTCTCCTTGGCCTCCCAAAATGCTGGGATTACAGGCTGAGCCACCCAGCCTGGCCCCAACAACTCAATTTAAAATTGGGCAAAAGATCTGAACAGACCACTAAAGAAGATATACAGATGGCAAATGAGCACACAAAAATATCATGAAAATTATTAGTTATTAGGGTAATAAAAACATAAAACTACAAACTATTGAATACCTCTATTAGAAAGGTCGAAAATAAATAAAAATAAAAACAAAATCTGACAATAACAATGGCTGGCAAGAATGTAGAACAACTGAAAATCTAATGCATTACCAATGAAAATATAAAATGATACATCACTTTGAAAAACAGTTTAGCAACTTCTTATAAAATTAAACACACACTTATCATATGATCTAGCAATCCTATTTTTATATATTTGCCCAAGTAAATGAAAAACTTATTTTCACACAAAAACTTGTAGAGGATTGTTTATAACAATGGTATTCAGAGTTGTCGAAAACCAGAAACAATCTAGACGTTTCTCAACAGGTGGATAGATATATAACTTGTGACACATCCATACAATCGAATACTACTCAGCAACAAAAAGTGAGAAACTACTGACTCGCCCAGCAACACGAATGAACCTGAAATGCATTTTGTTAAGTGAGAGAAGGCAGACCCAAAAAGCTACATATCATACAATTTCATTTATATGGCATTCTGAAAATGTAAAAACTGTAGGAATGTATGAAAAACAGGTTGCCAGGGGTGAGAATGTGGGGAGAAGTTGACTACAAAGAGACAATACAAGGGAATTTTTAGGGTGATAGAATGATTTGGGGGAAATTGCTAGAATAAATCTTGTAGTACTGGATTGGAATGAGAACTATCATAAATTCATTTTTAAAATTTTACTATATATACTCATAGATTCATATAATTCCTATCCATGTCTTCTGAGAGGACTAGAAGCAGTGGTACACCAGTAGTAGCGAACACACCTTGCACCCAGATTTTGGTCCCTAAATATTATTTCCCATAAAAGGAAGCAAGAATTCAAGGACTGTAGCCGGAAAAATACATGACCCTGAAGTAAATAGGAAAAAAGACAACTCTTCTATACAGAAGAATTTCTCTCTCTCTCTCTCTCTCTCTCTCTCTCTCTCTGGGTGTGTGTGTGTGTGTGTGTGTGTGTGTGTGTGTGTGTGTGTGCGTGCGCGTGCGTGTCTGTGTATTGAGTAACAGAAAAATCATTATTAAAACACCACAGTAATAATTGCTGCAGGTAAGATCCATGGATGAATGCTTGAATTATTAGCTGTGACTTTAAGGAGAAATAGAAGGCTTATATAGCCTCAAAGTATTTCTTTCAAAATATTTGTTAATTACTGTGGAGGTTTTAATATATTGCCACAAATACTTTGACACTCCTCCTCCAGGAGGTAGCATTTAATTTCCCTCTTCTTAAGTATAGGCTGGACTTAATGACCCAATTTTAAACAGAAAGGGAGAAACATAACTTTTCAATGGAGAAATCTAACTGATACCACCTTGACTAAGTGATCGAGGTTAACGTCACTAGTAATAAGACATATTGACATAATGTATCCAGACTATAATGTGATTAAAAGGGCACATCATTTTTGTGCTGTGCTTCCCAAATATTCATAACTTCAGACTGATTGGTGAAAAGTATCACACAAGTCCAAACAAAATACGTGGCCAGTATACTTCAAAATTGGTAAGGGAATAAGAAAAAACAGTAAAAGACTAAGACATTTTTATAGATTAGAGGAGATTAAAGAGACCTGACAACTAAATGCAAAGGTTTATCCTGGATTGAGAGTTTTACTTTTTTCTCTAATGTTTTTGCCTCATATGAGTACTAATACTGGCCTCATGAATAAGTTAGGCAGTGTTCACACTTCTTCTGTGTTTTGGAAAGTTGATATTACTTCTTTAAATGTCTGGTAGAAATCTCCAGTAAAGCTATCTGGACCTAAGGTTTTCATTGTGGAAAGTTTTAAAATTATTACTCCAATCTCTTTACTTGTTATAGATTTATTCAGATTTTCTATTTATCCTTTATTAAGTTTTGGTTGCCTCTTTCTGGGACTTTGTCAGTTTCATATAGGCTATCTAATTTTCTGGCCTATTATTGTCCATAGGAGTCTCTTACAGTCCTTTCTACCTCTGCAAGTTCAGGTCTACTACCTGATTTCAAGACTTACTATAAAGCTATAGTTATAAAAATATCTTAGAGAGGACACAGGAATCACTAACTGTAAAAAAAAAAAAAAAGATAAAGATAAATTCAATTTAATCAGTATTAAACATTTTCTGCTCACCAAAAACGCTATCAAGAAAATAAATAAAAATCATGCATTTTATTTTAATGTATGCAAATGAAACCTCAAAAAACATTCAGAAACATTTTAAGTAACGGATGTTGGATATAAGTGCTTTGAATTTTCTTCCAGGTGGCGTGGATTGATCTTAGTGTTGTCACCTGGAGCTCAGTCTGCAGGACTCAGTGTCCATGCACCTGAGGAATTCTGGCATTCCACTTCCCGGCCTTGCGTGCAGAAAGAACATCCAACCCTCCCCAGCCAGACCAGCAGCACACCAGATATGCCAGGGTCTCCCAGATTACCATGTTTTTATAAACCTGAGCACCAGCTTCCCCATCAGTGTGTCAAATTCCAAGCACACGGCAATTCTGAGTTATTCAAAAATTAATTATCATAATTAATTTTTCACACCGAGAGGCAGAATTGCATATGTAGGTAGGACAGAACACAGGATAAGCCCAAAGTTTGAAGGTCTCTTCCCAGTTCCCCTACTCCCACATCCTGTGATCTTAGGCAAATCCCTAAATTTCTTATCTTTATAATGCAGGGTTGGTGATAATAGGACACTTAACTGCCCAGACAACAGCCTTGCACTTTGAGGAGGAATCGCTGAGGGACAGAGCTGAAAGTCTGTGGTAAAATGTGAATTTCCATGAGTACTTACGGTACTATCACCACGATTTCATTCAAAACCCTGACTCTTTCCACCACCTCCACTGCCTCTTCCACCAAATCCACATGCATCAGGACCTATTTCTGAAAACTTTACTGTAAATTAGAGTCTTTATCAGAAGGTACAGAAATTTTGACCATTTAATTCTGTTACTTTTAGAATCTCTGGAGAAATTGTTCCACATTAATGCCAGGGCACCACACGCCCCTTGAGAGAGCAAACCCCAAGAGCCATCTCACCTGCTAACAAAGGTCAAGGCCAGCACTGTGGCCAGGTGAGGCATCAGCCGCAGGGTCTGTGTTTGGTGCTCGATGATCTTCACCTCTTCCTTGGCTTTGGGCCCAAATTGCCTCCGGCTAAAGAAAATCAACAGACACGATTTTTACCAGTAGGCAACATTTTCAGAGCTCAAAGTGCCTGCCTTTCAAATAACGCAGAATAAAGAAACTCGAGCCCCCTAAAATGTGGTAATGGCAATAAGGCATCCAGAGTTTCTGAAGAAAGTCCAACAGGAAGCTTTTTTAGCTCTTCTATGGCTTAACCTTCCCACCATGGAATATTTTCAAAGCAGCATATCCTCTCACACACAGAGTAATTTTTACTCCTTAACATTTACATGACATTTTATAGTTCCAAGTGCCCTATGATCATTAATTATTCGGCTTTACTAAGTCTGTGACATAATTAATAGGACAGGAGCGATACCCTAGATCATATTTCAAAAGGACATTCTCAACAAGGAGGGCGACGTTAACCCCGGTGCTCCTGTCACATTCACAGGCAGGTCATTACTTTCAGCCTACCTAAAGCCCCCTGCGATTCTATGTGGAGAAGGTGTTCTCCACATCCCTCTCAATCCCTGGGCCCTCCAGATAGCAGCTACAGTGCACTCTGAGGCAACTCTGCCCGGTGAACTAAGGCTTTCCTCACAGCAATTTATAAAGTGGTGCGGGAGGTCCCCACAAGCAACGCCCAGGGACAAATCTCATCTCGCAGAATCCTGATGCTGCAGACTGCAAAGCGCCCAGGTCTTTTGTAGAGGTCATCCTCTGCCACATGTGGCCGGATGTGACACCATTCCGCTTCTGGTAACATCCTGTCTTTGAATGGCTCTGAGCTTAACATTGATTTCTGAAAGATGATTTCACACACAGATGCACGCACACACACATGCACGCACACACACATGCACTCACACACACATGCACTCACACACACACATGCACACACACAGTGCTACATTATCAAAGAGTCAGGGCAAACTTGTGCTTCAGACACCAGTGTGGCGAGGATATCCAGACACCAGTGGGGCGAGGATATCCACCAAGCACTCAAAGAGACAGAGGGAAAGGAGCAATCATTTAAAAATGTTTAAATTTGATAGACTTTCTTAAATATATTTTCTTTGTTTTTTTTTTTTTTTTTGAGTTGGAGTCTCACTCTTGTCGCCCAGGCTGGAGTGCAGTGGCATGCTCATGGTCACCGCAGCCTCAACCTGCTAGGCTCAAGGGGATTCTTCTGCCTCAGCCATCCAAGTAGCTAGAACTACAGGCGCATGCCACCACGCCTGGCTAGTTTTTGTGATTTATTGTAGAGACGAGGTCTCACCAAGTTGCCTAGACTGGTCTCAAACCCCCAGGCTCAGGCAATCCTCTCGTCTCGGCCTCCCAAAGTGCTGGGATTACAGGCTGAGCCACCGTGCTCAGCCCATATATTTTCATATTGTTTTGATTGTGAAGAAAAAGAGGCATCATAATCTTTGAATTGCAGAAGGCACCTGGCATTCACAACTTGGCTCTGTCCTATGGGTGGTGAGGACACACACAACAAGCACACGCAGGGACAGTCGCTCACAAACACTGTGAGCACAGGCTTGTTTTCTTAGAGCACAGATGTCCCTAGGCACAGTCTGACCACCACACGGATGGTTGTCCAGGAACACAACCTCACTCTGCCTTGCATCCATGCCTGCCTCTCCTCCAACCACAGCAGGGCATGCTTCCAAACCAGAAGCCTGCCAGTCTACAGGGAAACCTCTCAGCTTGTGCTGGATCATGATGGAACCTACCAAAACTCACAAACCCAATAATGATGTCATCATAATATTAGGTCATTGCTATGGACTGAATTGAGTCCCCGCAAAATTCATATGTTAAAGCCCTAGCCCCATTGTGACTATTTGGACATAGGGCTTTTAGGAGGTAATTAAGATTATATGAGGTCAAAAGCGTGGAGTCCTAATCTGATAGGACGGGTGGCCTTATAGAAGAGAGATATTCCTCTCTCTTCACATGCACTGAAGAAAGGTTATGCAAGGAGACAGCAAAAAGGCAGCCATCTGCAAACCAGAAAGAGTAGATTGCATTTCTGGTTCTGGTAGACAAGATTTTAGCCACAGTAACCATAGATAAAGCTACAGTATAATCACAGCATTTAAAAATGGAAGTTAAACGAGTGACCAGACACCGAACCTTCATTTTGGACTTACATCCTCCAGAACCGTGAGAAATAAATTTCTGTTGTTTAAGCCACCCATTTTATGGCATTTTGTTCTTGTAGCCTGAGCTGATTAATATGGTCATTTTACAAATTTCGTTTGTTTTCTATGATGTGGGAGCAGTTAACCAAAAAATAAAAAATAAATAAAACACAAATTCCATTTGTCTCACTCGTTTAACTTCCATTTTTAAATACTGTGATTATACTGTAGCTTTATCTATGGTTACTGTGGCTAAAATCTGGTCTACCAGAACCAGAAATGCAATCTACTCCTCTGAGGGACATCTGAATGTCTGCTCTATGCCCAATACCACACACCAGGCATTGGGCATCCACCAGGGTCAAAGGGCCGAGTCCCAGACACTGAGCTCACAGCTGTGGACACAGAGAAGACTCAGACAAGGTGGCGGGTGCAGAGAGGGCCTTGGGCATGGTCATATGCACCCACCCTATGTCAGTCACCAGCATTTCACCATGTGCTGCCAGAACTTCATTTCTGGACACTTTTTCCACACAGCGCCAACAAAAGAAGTGATCAATCCAACACCTTTTAGTCTGGGTTTTGCTGAAGCATAGCTACAACAACAAAACAACTTTAAACAGTATCCCATCAAACGTTCTGATTCTGAGTGTGAAGTCTTTGCCTTGGCCAGCAGGCATTAATTATTCGTCCAATACATGAAAGAATGAATGAGTTTTACAGATGAGAAAAGCACATGATACATAGGACAGTGGCCCACTTGAGACCTTGGGGAAGGTCTTTGGATGCTGGAACTGACCCCTAACCAGTTGGGCCTCCGTTTCCCAATGTAGGCAAACCTGGTCGTGGTCTCATTTCCTCTTTCACCCTCTTGGTTCAATTGAGGTGACAGACGAAGAGCAGAAGGAGGCCACCAAGCGTCCACATGGCTGGCCTCATGGTGCCTCTTACTGTGCTGATAGGGAAGAGCTATCTCCTCCTGACCCAATGCTGAGTTGCCAGAAAATTTCATAAAAATTGGGACATTTTGCAAGAATTGAATTTCCCGTCCTTCTTTAAAAATAGGAACATCTGGCAACCTTGGGCCACATTCCCAGGATGTGACCTGCCGGAGCTCAGAGGCACCAAACCCTTCGGTCAGGGCAGAGCTGTCCTCTGGGGTCCCCAGAGCCCTCTCCACTCACTGACATGATCTGCTAGCCCAGAATTTTCACCCTTGCCAGAATAAATTTTTCTCATCCAGAATAAATTTACATCAGCATCTTAACTTGTTAATTACGTACTGGACTATGATGTACAGCCAAGCACAGGCATTCTACACGAGTCTATGAATTTATTAGGAGAACTCCCAGGGAGCAGAAACAGCTCTGACCAGCTCAGAATATAATCCGAATGCCTCAGCTTGGCACTCAAGAGCACACTTCGGCCTCACGTGAGTGTTCTGCTTTTCCCACTAAGCCCCTTCAGATGTTCTTCTCATCCCAGGACTCTGTCCAAGCAGGGCTCTCTGCCTGCCACCGACCTCACCCCTAGCCACCAATGTCTAAGTGAACTCACTTTTTGCGGCTCAGCTGAGACCTCTTTGATTCTCCCCTCCTCTTCACACACCCCTTCACAAACCAAACAGAAACAAACTAACCAAAGCAGGAGGCCACTTCCCAGAATGCCCCGAGCATCTGTGTCTCTCCCAGTGGCCCAGCAACCTGCCCTTCCGGGCTGGTACCGTGTGCACCCACATTAACCATGTGCTTCTGACACTTTACCATCTGGGGGTCTTACTGATCCTGAAGGGAGGGAGGCTTGCAGGGTCAGCTAATCCCTAAAGATAGAAAACAACACTCCTATGAGTGAATTTTCTGAATGCGAACAAATCAACCCAAGGCCCACACTCCCCTGCTATCTGGCTCTTCCCCTCAGGGTCAGTATTCCTCTGCTGTAGTCTCCTCAGAGCCAGGTTGCAGACAACTCAGGCAGATTCCATGCTTCAGAACCTTCTGAAATTAGCCAATCCTAAACCTGCTTACCTGTGTTGCCAGTTCCCTCCTGCAGAAACCACAATAAAGGCTCTTGGCCACATTTCCCCCGTCTCCCTCAGCCTCTTGGCCAATCCTGTGCCTGGCTTATCCCTCCTCTCATGAACTCTGAGTACTGAACTATCTTTCAAAGGTTGTCGTCACTGATCTGCTGGCCTCACCATACTGTGTAATAATCAAACCTTTATTTTATTTTATTTTTATTTTATTTTATGAGCTGGAGTCTCATTCTGTCGCCCAGGGTGGACTGCAGTGGCACACTTATGGCCACTGCAGCCTCGATCTGTTGGGCTCAGGCGATCCTTCCACCTCAGCCTTCCAAGTAGCTGGAACTATAGGCATGCGCCATGCCCAGATATTTTATGATTTATTGTAGAGATGGGGTCTCACCAAGTTGCCCAAGTTGGTCTCGAATTCCTAGACTCAGGCAATCCTCTTGCCTTCACCTTCCAAACTGTTGGGGTTGCAGGTGTGAGTCACTGCAAACCTGCATTTTAAAACAGTACATGCTCCATTCAGGTGTACTAGCCTGGTCTGGTGTAAGTGGCCAGGTAAAACGGGGGAAGGGACAGGAGGGCAGATGAATGTCCTGCCAGTAGCACACCGACTTCTCCACCCCTCTTCCCACTTCTCCATGGAATGTTTGCTTGTCCCTAGATGCGCTAAAAAAGAACCAACTCTCAGACTCTGGAGTGCTGAGGGGGCAGTTAAGAGGAGGGGCAGTTAGGACAGGGATGAAAGAGGAAATGAGAGGAAGGAACCCACCCCCATGCCCAACACCCCACCCCACCACCGTTTTGTTTTGTTTTGGCCAGGGACAAGAAGGAAACAAGCAGGTGTTGCA